GCGGCCGGGCCTGGCTCGGCGGGGCAGCGGCTGGGGCAGCCCCACCTCCTGCCTGGCTCCCCACCCCACGCTCCGCCTGCTGCGGAAGGCGGTGCAGCCCCACATCCGTGTCCGGGGCGCAGGCAGGCGCAGTCCGGATGCAGCCGGCAGGGCCAGAGGGGCATGGAATGCCCGGATGCTCATCCGGGCCGTTGCCTGCTGCACGGCTGTCCTGCTTGGGCCCGAGTTCAACCCTACAGCCTGTGGTGCATGTTTTCTTGATTGTTTTTGTTAATAACTAGTAAAAATGTACTTTTTCCCTTGACCTTTCTGTACTGTAGGTGCCTGGAAATTTTCCATCCTATACGTTTACAGCCCTAGTTACTGAAGCTGTTGGTCCACGATGACAACCATTTCTGACCTTCCAGAAGATGTCCTAGTGGAGTTGCTTTCTATGCTTCCAGCCCAGGATCTGATCTGTGCCTGCAGACTGGTCTGCACCCAGTGGCGATACGTGGTGGATCTAACCACCCTGTGGAAACGCAAGTGCCAGCGGGAGGGGTTTCATACCCAGAATTTGGACAGAAGCATCCCTGACTGGAAGATCTTCTATATGCTCTGCATCTTGAAGAGAAACTTGATAAAAAATCCCTGTGCTGAAGGTTTGTTCTTATTATTATTTATAGTAGAGGGTTAGGAGAGTTTCCTAGCAGTCAGAAAAAGTCAGTGTCCTGCATGAACTGTAGCATTATTGTAGTATCGCTGGTGCTGTGGGACTGTTCAGCTACTAACGGAGCTGTAGTAGGGCAGATCCACAAGGAAACATCTGCAGGTAAAGCCAGCTTGGGTAAAATAGGTATTGATAAATGTGTCAGTGGCTGAGACCAGAAAAATCTCTGCCGTCAATAAGGTACTATGAATAGTGAATATCAACTTGCACTGTAGGTAGAAATGATGCAATGATAAAACTATCAGCTATTGGGACTAAATATTTGGGTAGCTGGGAATTTTTTGTTCCAGCTAAAACTCATCTCACTGCAGTAATTCTGCTTCATTACTGGTTTTGAGTTTCTGATGCGGTCAAAAAGCTGCTGCCAATTGTCCCACTTGCTGACAGCCTTGTTAAAAGTAATGGCAACGTACTGACAGAAGTCTTGAAGTTGTAGGAAAAATGCATATCTGAAAATTCTTCAAAGGGGATTCCCAGTTTTCTTTTGTAGCTGTCTTAATGAAAGCAGAGATGCTGTGGAAAACTGAAGCGAGGTTCTAACAATCTTTGTGGTATCTACGTTTTGTAGAGAGTTTTCGGCACTGGAAACTTGATAATAATGAGGGAGATAGATGGAGGATTGAGGATCTGCCTGGACCTCTTGGGAGAGAGATGCCAGATCCAAAAGTACACAAGTATTTTGTCACTTCATTTGGGTAAGAACTGGATTTGCGTGATCTGGAGCTGGAGGAAGAGCCCTGCTTCCTCTTCCCTGTCTGCAAAGGCACTAGGGTCAGAAGGCTCGAGGCCAGTTGGTGACCCTTAGCCCACATATGAGAGAAGGAAGAAGCTTAATTAACCCGTTAAGACTAGTTACTCTAAATAGACAGGTAACTGCTGAGGGAATTAATAGCACCAAGTGCTAAATCTCTCTGTCTCTACCAAGAATAGCCTGTAACTTTTTTTATAGTGGTGATAATGAACATGGGATCCCTGCTTGTCTTCCTCCAAAGGTAAGGTCCAAAGGTTAAGGTTTGCGGAAAGGTTTGGCAAACTGATTAGATGCAGTTACCTGACGAGGACAGAACACTGTAATGTGCAAGAGTCCCAGGTGTTTGTCATGTTGACAGCTTTCAATAAAAGCTGTCCACAGGGGAAGATTAGCTACTTTACATCCCTTATAGTTGTTTCCTCTTAACCACATTTGCTATATAAGTAGAAACCCTTGTTAATCGAGCTTGTAGGTAACTCTCCCTTTTACATGGGAGCAAAGCTAACCAGTTTGCTTCCTTGTGTGCTTCTGGCTACAGAAACAGGCACGCCTTAGCCATGTCAGCCACCTAGGTCTGGATGGGCTTTTTATGAGAGTAAAGCTGTTGGCGGGAAGGTATAGAGGTGGAGGGCTAAGAGATGTGTTTTGTGAAGTTACAAATACTTGTGTTGCAGGCCATGCCTCAAATCTCAACTCATTACCCTGAAGAATGAAGGATACTGGAATGAGCTGATGGATGAGAACCAGCCTGAAATTATAGTCAAGGATTGGTAAGTGTGTGTTGAAGACTAGAATTTCTGGCGTTATGACCTAGATATAAGTTGGGACTCTTTTAAGCTTTTCGTGCTATAATAGTTCTTTATCGTTTGGGACTCATGCTTGAGTAAAGCATGAGCTAAATCAAGGTTAATTCAGTAGGCTGGAAGGAGGTGATAATCCTGTGAAGGCTAGGATAGTTGGAAGTTTTAGAGCACCTCCATAGCTATGGAGATGATGCACTTGTTCCTCTGCAGAGGGGAATTTCCTTGGAGACTATTTCTGAACGCTAAAGACAATTGGAGGCTGGGAATGTACAACCCTGCTGCTTGATTCCTCTTGTCTCTCCAGGTATGCTGCCAGATTTGACTGTGGGTGCCGTTATGAAATTACTGTGAGGCTGCTCTCTGAAGATTATATCGTCCTTGATGAGTTCCACCCCGAGCCAGTGGTTATAGAGCAGTGGAGCGATGCGATGTGGAGAGAGGTAAGCAGTGGCCCTCTGGGCAGTGGCTTTACATCAGTATTCTGCCACTTAGTCTCGCAACTCTGCTAACAGTCCCAAGTAGACCTGCTCTCTCTGCTCTTTGGCTTCCTCCAAGAGGAAATGTAAATATGTCCTTACTTTTGACAACACTGAAAAAGCAGTGGAGCCATGGAAGAGCTAGGCTTGGTTTGTAGGTGCCCAGCATTTTCTAAAGCGTTCCACTGTGCTTCTGTGTTATTTCAGCTTAGCCCTTTTAAGTGTTCCTATTTTTATTTAGGCTTTGTCTAACTAAGTTCTAGCAGCATAATTTTTTTTTTTAAACTGGACCAAAAACCTTTGTTTTAAACTATTGTGTGGTCTTGATTTTAAAAAGTATGGCAGATGCTTCCTTTTCTATGTTGCTAAATGTTACACCATTTTTTAAATGGCTGTAGATTCCCCATTATGTTTATATGACAAAGATAATATGTAAGACTAAGCTTGATTCTTATGCTTGGATTGGGGAGGATTTTAGGACAGAGGGCAACGTAATACAGGTGTGCCTTTCCCTCAAGGACAGAGGGCAACATAATACAGGTGTGCCTTTCCCTCAAAAGGGTATGGTATGTACTTTTCATTAAATGATATTTTGGAATGAACCTTTCCTGAGACAAGGGCTCTCTTACAGTAGTTGTCCTAGCTTCAAGGTCAGGGCTGGTTTACTTAGGCAAGATAAAAGGATTTTTTTTGTCTTCCCCCCTCAGATTTCTCACACCTTCCACAATTACCCAGCTGGAGTTCGTTACATCTGGTTTCAACATGGAGGCCAAGACACCCAATTCTGGGCAGGATGGTATGGGATCAGAGTGACAAACAGCAGCATCACCATTGGGCCCTGGACATTGTTATGAAGAGACAATACAAATGTTCTCTTTTACCTCAGGATTGTAACCAGGTGGTCTCAGATGCACTTAAATTTGTACTCTCTGGGTGAGTGTCCTGGCTTTGTCCTGCACAGTTGATCTGGAATTCAAGCAGCTAGCTTTCCTTGTTGACAGCAGAACTTCTGCAGGCCCAGCCCTTTGGAGGGACTTCTGTCTTCCTCTTTCCTCCTGCACCATGGATGTTAGTGCAATTATTAGTGTCCTTCCATAGGACAGAGCCTAGGACAATTAAATGACATCTAGCTTTTGTAGTAGCAGAAATACATAAGTCTTAAGAAAGGAAAGCCCTTCCTGGTTTATCTATAGAGTTTATGAAAGATAAGGCTAAAATATTTCAGTTCAGATTATGACCCTGTTTTAAAGGGCTCTACTATGGAGATACTTGTTTTGTATGGTATTTTCTTGTTTCAGTTTAATTGTGTGTATAAACATGTCTTGCATCAGACCTCTTTGATAGGACGAGGAAACCATCAACCCTTTTTTGTAAGTGCTGTCTTGCTGATGCTTACAGATGTTGTAACAAAATAAGTATATGTGAGCAAAATGATATGTGTCTTACCTGTCCACATACTGCCCACCTTTATTTGAATAAACAGGGAAGGAGGAGGTAAGGAATCCCTTGTGCGTGGGTACCTTATAACTGAAGTGCCTTTTACAAGCTGGAACTTGATTGGGCTTGGCGCTTTCCTTGCTATCTTTGTACTACCAAAGCACTTGGCTTGTACTAAACAGTCTAACCTCATATAAAAGGTTAAAGCAGCAAATGACCTAGGTGTGTTGTTCTTCCACTTATTTCTTGGAGGAGGCAGGGAGGGTTTATGCTGGCTGCCTTATCAAAGCGTCTGCCAAGAAGCTCAGCTCAAAACTATGGACTATGTCTTCCACTCATGTATACACAGAACCAATGCTAAGGCCCTCTTCTTCCGTCTCCTTTGATAGGTGCAGGATAATGGTGTTTGTCCGGTCTGTTGAGACCGGGATGTTTGACGAGCGTCTTTGCTGGGCTGGCAGACAAATTCCTCCTTGCTAACCCTGCTCTTAGGGTGGAGGGTCTCCTGAGGGAAGGGACTGGTGCTTTAGCCTTCACAGAAACTGGCAGATGCCAGCCATATTCCAGAAAAGGTATGGGAAAAGCGGTAAACAATCTACATAAACACAGAGCAGTTACTTTCTCTCTAGGGGGAGGCTGGCTTGGATAGAACTCAGCCTAGTTCTGCTGGCATAAAGCTTAATATTTATTGAGAACTACTTAGGACCGTCACAGTGGACACTGTAAAAGGCCTCACTCACCTGTAGTGCGAGTCCATTGCTCTAGTGGAGCATACAACAGATCCCTAATCACTACCAGTGTGCAATGGAGATGCCCAATTAAGGCTAGACGTGTACTTGTACAAAGCGCTGTATGCACACTGCAGTCAGCTTTACCATGCCCCCTGTGCCTAGGGACTTGCTGTAACAAAACCTATACTCACTCTCACACAAGCGTACATGGGAACAGGCTCTGGCTCCACATTCCAAGTCAGTTCTATATACAGTGGTAAGCGCACTTGAAATAAAGAGGCAGCAGCTGCTCTACATTCACCCCGAAGGCCAGCTGATGAGACTTGTTATCAAAGTATAGTTTGTAAGGTGTCCGATTCCACTGAAAGATCTGAGGCTTGAAGGTGGTGAAGAGCTGAAGTCAGGTGCCTTTGTGGGCTCGCTCTTCAACATATAGCTGCATCTGAAGGAGAGAAACACGTATCAATTTTCTGCTTTATGTCCAGGTAGGTGAATGGAGAAGAGTTTGCAACAGACTAAATAGGAATTCATACCTTCTGCCATAACCAGGCTTCCTATTTCATTGGGAAGTCTTGCCCTGCTTTGACTCCTGACAGAGCATCTAACAGGACTAAGCTACTGCTCAGCATTATTAAACTTATCCTATGGATAAACTGCACAGCTGGCATCAGAATAGACAAAACTTAAAGCTACACGTGCTTTCATGAAGCACATCCTCCCAGGCTACGGCTTTGCTCACCTTTAAGATATCAGATGTCATAGTCTTCAGTGGAATAAGCCGGGGGTCATGCATGTGCACATCTTGTTCATCAGCAAGGATCCATGGGAAATCCTAGGGGCAGGAACACAAGATGCTTTATTAACAGCATCCTTGCAGTGGCTGACACTGCAAGGTGAGCTCTTTCTCAGCACTAGGGCAGCAGTAAATGAACGAGAGACCTAGTGGCTGAGGGAAGAAACAAACAAGTGACTCTTGAAGGTAACTCAGGAGCCTCCCCTAAAAGCACAACTTAAACACTTGTACAGTTCTTAACTGTATCCTGAGTCTCAGGGCTATCATGCACAGTCCAGTTCTCAGCACTGATTTCTGCACCATAATTACAGCATAATGAAGACAGTAACCCATTTTATTTATCCCAAAGGTGACACTTCACTCCCTTAAAAGCCTTATCTATACTGAGCCAGCATGCTGTACTTACTACATCAGCGTTTAATTGCAGCTCCAAGATGCTCATGGCATGGATTTACCTGTTTAACAAAAGCTGTCCGGGCTTGCAAGTTTAAAGTTTGTTTAGTATGGTATCAGTTTTGTTACTAAGCAGTACAGAGCAGATTTCCCTTTTGAAATTTTATAGTTCCTTAGCTTTATTGCCTATGTCTTAAGGCATCCAGAACAACTTTCCTTGTGGGGGGAGAAAAATGCTTCCTTGTCCCTGAGCGAGGACCCTTAGGAAAAATGTCTCATGAAGTGCTCTGCACACGCTTTCCTGCAAGATAAATGTATGTGTACAACCAAAACCCACTAGTTAGTTAAATCTTAGCCTTCCCTTGCTCTGTACAAAGAATTAGGGCTCAGTTATACTGAAATCTGAATTTAAGTATCTGCTCTATGCTTCAGAGTACTTAAGGTGGCAGAGCTGGCATGAAGCACTAAGTATCATTACATTCTGGTCCAGGCATCAAAGCAGCTATTGGCTGTGATTTGTGGCTGCGGTCTGGTGAAGGTACTCATTTACCTCACTGGCATAAACCCTTTTAACACACTTGGAAGGAAGTTGTGAAATGCATCATATGACGTTAACATTCAAAATGCTCTAGTACCCTTAACTTACATTCTTTGCTCTCCAGCTCTCACATGCAATCGGGTAGCCAAAGACCTCACTCACCTTTATCACCTGGATCTTTTCCATGTTCCTTGTGGCTGCCTCCCGCGTGTGAACCAGAACCGTGAAGGTGCAACCTGCAACAGAAATGGCATGTTCCAACTCAGGGGACAACCAGTAGAGGGGATTCAGACACTACCTATACTTGTCTCAGGTCAAGCGATGCCATGCTTTGGGCCACGTGGACATGCTTACCTGGGGGATTGTTGTCGAGCACAGCATCGCATACGCTGATCTTCAGGATGAAGGCACGCAGCAACTGCTCCACATGAGACAGCAAGGACTCTGAACTGTTGAGGAGACAGCCATTGTTACATGCATGCAGTAACGTACTGTGACCCAGAGTCGCTTCCAGAACACAGCTGCAGAAGCAAGCCTTGGGTGCCATGGGCGCCATGGGCAAGCAGAACAGGACACTTTACCTAATGGAAAGAAGAGGTGGCTGGGTGATCTCGAAGACAAATCTCTCCACTGGGTGGTGCTCTTTATCCAGGATTACAACTACAACCTTTTCCACATCATTCTGCAAGAACAGATAAGAGTTAGAAGTCCTCTCTTAAAACAGCCCTCATCTCCCCCCCTCAGTGTGCTTCAGGTGCTTCCTACAACCTGGGAGCGTGCTTATTTGCTGTGGATCACAGCACTAGCAGTTAGCCAGACCTGTAGCACTGTTAGATTATTCTGATTGATTAGAAAAATAAAATAGCCAAGCAACTCTATAGATATTAAACTGATAGTTCTTCCTCAAAGTCTTATGGCTATAAATTGCAGTAAATAAAATAATATATTTCTCTAGATACTGTTTTGGAAGAAAGGAGACAGCGTACAGTCATCTTATAGCTCTCACCATCCATGCCCTAGTGATGCAAAGTTCCAATATGCTTAGGCCATTGGCCAACTAGAGCAGCTTTGTGTACTACTGCAATGTAAAGCTTACCTGTTTCTAATATGTATTATATCCTCTGTAAGGTGCAGAGAGTGTCAACCCTGTTTGCATCCTGCATCATGTACTGTTCCATATGGTCATGCCTTTCCTTCACAAAACCAAGATTTCAAACCTACCTTTGCTTTTGCATGTAGCCCCCATTAGCTTAAAACAAAACATTCAAACTATTCTGAGTGGGTGCTTAATGCATTAAAAAGCAGAATGTTAAATCTAATTTGTAGGACAGTATAATCGGAAAAAATATAGGTTTATAGCCTCATGTGTATGCATCAGATGCGACTAAATGCCAGTATTAAGCAGCAAGGCAGTGCCTTAACTGCAAGGAAGTGTTATGGATGTTATGGTTTATTTTTGTCACTGACTTTACAAGCTAGTTGTGCATGGTAAATTTGTAAATAAAATTTTAAAAGTATTTATGGTCTTTTTTTGTCAAAACCATTTGCAGCACACTTGCATGGTCCAGGTCCTTGATATGATCTCACCTTCTCAAGCAATGGCTTCACACAGTGCAGCGTGTCCTGGATGTACTGATTCAGCTCTGGGTGGCAGGACATCTGTAGCAAACAGTGAATAGTTAGTGCTGTGTCCTGATGTGAATCAGGAAAATACTGAATGGGAAGGTGTAGACAGAACTGTCTTGCACAGTACGGGATTCATGCTTCAAAGGGCATTGTTTTTTTACAACTAGGTTACTAATTCAGACCAGTAAGTCTTTCATGGAAGGGTTAGCTAGCTGAGACAGATCACTGCAACTCACACAGTTATATTATTCCCACTGTCCCTGCTAGCTTGAAAGCTCCTACATAGCATTTACCGTACAGTACAGAAATATACCTGTTGAACCATCTTTCTTTCCTAGGCAGCAAGCTTTCATGTCACGCTATTGTGCATAGCTAGAGAAGCCTTCTACTACTCTTACCCATGATCTGCTTGTTCCATGAGCAGGGCTATATATCCTTAGCTACAGGGCTGTTTTCCTCTCTAGGAGCAACCACATTCTCTATGAAAATGAGTTTGCACATTAAGAGAACTGTTGGTAGTGACTTAGTTCATTCTGGTGCGTGCGCTAACTGACCCCTGCTCTTTTGCTTAGCCACATAGCTATCCCACTCCCACAACAATCTCTCACCTGGACAGGTACATTGTATTTTTTCCTCTTCTGAAAGATCCCAATAGGGTAAACCTCTCTAACATACAGGATGAGGTGAACAGCCACTTCCAGAAATTCTGAAAGAACATCTGCAACAACTGCAAAGCAAAAGTAAAAGATGAAGCGGGCTGGGAAGGGGAAGCTTACAGAGCAATACTTTAGGGTTCTTTTTTCCCCCTTGCATAAATTTCACTTCCTTCTGCTTAGCTACTGGAAGCCTGTCTTATTTTGGAGGGGGCACACTCTACCCCTAAACTTTGTCTTTGCAATAGTCCCATAAGCTCACATGAAAGCACCGAGCCTTACAAGCATACCAGTTTAGGGCATAGCACAACACGTTACCTTGTCCGAAGTTAAGGTCCTGCCGCGTGAGAGTGGTCATCCTTCCAAGAACCTGGAAGGAATCACACAACGACTGTATTTAACCTCTGGCTCTTATGCTTTTAATGTAGTCAGCTTACGGTGTCATTCCACTTCCCTAGTGCTACGGAGCTTAGTCAATATACTGTCCTCTAGCTTAGTCACAAGTATACAAACACAACCATGTCACAGCCAAAGGCCCACTGGGAAATGTTTAAGCATCCTTTATTCCAACAACATGGACTCAGAAATCACAAGCAGTGCAAAAAAAACAAAGAGAGCATCTTTGCTGTGTTCTGGCTCAAACTTTGAGAGTGTTAAGATTACTCATGATTTAATTTCTGCTTTTTTTTCTTTAATTAGGTTTTCTTCTTAAAAAAAAAAAAACCAACAAAACTCAGCCAATTGGTCCCATTCACAGATCTTCATCATCTCCCTCCTTTTTGGTGTGTTTTGCTAGGAGTAGAGAATTAAGATTTAGAGAAGCTTAGACAACCATTTTTAGCGGCAAAAGGAACATAGTATTTGGTTTTAAAAAGCCACACAAGTGACTGAGTAACTTAACATACCCCACAGTCTTTTCTAACCCATATACCCTATTATAACATAGGAACTTCTCAGTTTTATGGGTTCATTCTCACAACACAACCATGAAACATTGCTCATTCATGCCAGGCTCTGCACCTTCCACTGGCACTGCACAACACAGCCAAACCCTGCAGAGCCACATAATTGATTTAATATGGAATTGTCACACAAATTTGTGACAATTATTCAGGGCACACAGTAAATGGCCAAATTGAATATCATGTACCAACAATCAAACAGCAGACATTGGGGCTCAACTTTCCAGCAGCCTTCCTCGTACAGTTGAGTCAGTGCTTCACACATCCACGTTTTAAGCTACAGTGTACACCATTTCCTCTCACACCCTTGTAACTTGTTTCATTATTTTATCCACATTGTATGCAGCTAAACTCTAACCACTAGCAGCACCACTGTTCATACATTGCACATGTGTTTAAACGCCTCCAGGCAGCACTGTGCCTCCCTTCAATAACACAGCTTTCTTACATAGACCTCTAATAAGCCACAGAAAATCTGCTCAGCTGTTCAGCTACTGGTTTTCAAGTTGCTTCAGCTGCAAGGAGACATGTTTGTCAGACCTACAAAGAATTACTTCAACCTTCTCAAAACAGGGAGACACTATCCTCTCCCTTTTTTAAATAAGAATCTAATCACTGTACAAAAAGGCCTCCCAGAACGTTAATGACCTGCTGAAATAAAAAGAATTAAGATACTTGAACGCTTTGTAGGACCTCAGCCACAGTGACTGTCAAATTTGTATGAAAAGCCTGCATCAGAGCAGCATAAAGAATCTATGGTTTTTAGAGGTTTAGGTTCACATCCTCACCCCTGGACATCCCCCCTTCCTAAACAGAGGCCCTGATGAGGCAACAGCATCCCAAAGGACCCACCCTTAAATACAGCCATAAGATTAGGCCTACTCCCTCAACTTAAGGTTTTGGAGTAACTGACTGGAGCAACATGGCAGTTAACAGGACTTCATCTACTCATCTGAATTTGCTTCCCCGACACACATGAGGGCTGTTTTCAGAAAAAGCGGTCCCATCTTGTCAGCATAACACAGAGTACTGAGAGACGGCTAGAGCAGGCAAGGAGGAGCGGGCATCAGGAAAAAGACTGTCTGCACTGCCTTCGTGATTCTTTTTGGAAGCTAGCGAGCCCTTGTTGGACAAATTTCAAAAAGAGGAGGGCAGCAAAGGAGACAGGACTATCATGTAATTTGCAATATACCATTCTCTAAGCGGTGATGTCTCTTACCCAGGTTCCTGAGCCAACCCAAAGCAACCAGCTCCGGCCTCCTGCACCGGCCTGCACTGCCCTTGCCCGCCACAGGCCTACGAGCCCCGGCTTCGCAGCAGCGCAAGGAGACTCGCCCAGCGCACCTCTTGCCCCCCGCCCTGGCGCACCAGGCTCCCTAACTACGCGGCATACAGAAGGACAACGCCTTGCAGGAAAGCTACGGCTGCTTTTTGCTGTCCCCGGCTCGCTCATCCGGAGCGAACGACAGCGATTTCCGCCTGAGCCCGTGCTTCGTGCCCTCCGCGCAGCCCT